ATATTGCTGTTGGACAATTGTAATATACGTAAATTTGGATGACGAAAGAGAAAATGTTTGCATCAATTTTTGCACTAATTGAGCGAAATTTTTGAATGACGGGCAATAAATTGGCAATAATTTGAGATGGCGAAAGAATTACACGCGTATCACCGACACAACTGTCCTCTCGTGGAATGGAAACTTTTTATACAGAATATACATATACATATGTTGCAGATTTTTTGTAAAATCAGCCTCTATAAAGCGTCGACCTTTGAGCATTTTAAAAACACACGTGTTTTTTGTATAAAAGTAAAATTTATAAAAATGTGAGACATGTACATATAATATATAGCAAGGATATTGAAGGAAAAAATATCGCACAAATTCACTCATTATTTCAACTTGAACGAATCGAAGAAATCATTTTGACATATACTTTGATACGAATAAACATATGATAGACTTGTAACGAAAGATTGGTTCATGTGTGCGTGCGTGTGTATCGATATCTCTCTATTATATAAAAATGTAAAAAATTAACATGTTATTATTAAAGCGCGGAAAAAAACAAAAAAATTTTTTATTCACAAGAAATATATAGTAAAATTTTTCCATCTGACTTGTAAATGTCCGATAAATTTTTACAGAGGTCTCGAAAACCTATTAAAAGCCAGGTCCATCGCGTCGAAAGAAGAAATTCCGTAAAAGGAAGGGGGATTTGAAAAGAATTCTTTTGTTTGTCGTATTTCTATGAAAATTTAAGGAAATTTTACGACGTAAATGTCGCATTATGAATTTGATTTGCGTGTCTCAGCATAAAAAATCTGGTCAAAATCTTTCTCTTAAAATCATTTGTAAGAGAGTCGCCTGAATCAACCTTGGCTGAAAATGCCTTTGCATTCGATGCCGGGATTATGAGACGTTAAAGTTGAGCCCAAGTCGGAATGCCGCGCCGTAAATTTTGTTATAAGAAATTTTGCTTTGTTGTAAAAAAACCCGAGTGCATGAAATTTTTTCTTTACAGAAACTTTTTGTAAAGATTGATGGTACCGAGCACAACGAGCAACGAGCAACGAGCGTTTACGACGGATTTGTTGTACGAGAATACCGGCGTCGTATCGTCGAGCCATACTTTTCCAAGTATAGCCAAGCGTTCTCGTCGATTGCTCGTCAAATAAGGTATGCGACAACTAGGTGCGTAGCTAGACTCGATCTACTTATTAGATATAATAATATATATATATATATATATATATATATATATATATACATGTGTGTGCCCCTCTTTTGAATTATTCAATGAATAATTGAGGCGCGGAATTATCGGGTGTAAAAATTGTAATCGATAGGGAAAATTTGTGAAAAAGTGAACATGGACAATTTTCAAATGACAAACGAGATTTCTCTTTCTTTTTTCCTCTCGATTGTCACAAGCATTGAGATTGATGCAAAAACGCAGGAGAAGCTCAATCGCGTGCGCGCGATACCAGTTCGCGCATTCATCGAATGCGCTTCCTCTCTTATAATCTATAGGACATGCTCTCGATATATCGAGTCTGGGGTCGAGGTGACCTTAGGTTTAATTTAACGCGACGATACGATGCGATGCGACGCGATGCTAGGCGAGGCGAAGCGAGGCGAGGCGGGGCGAGGCGAGGCGAGGCGATGCGAATCCACTCGCATTCGCGTTTGAAAAGCGTGCATTTTATTGTGTTTGTAGCATTGTATCATCTCGTCGCCTATTGTCGACTTTATGCTATTTCATTACCTTTAATTTGGAAAGGATCGTGATTGTTTGAGTAAATGAAATAAGTAAATAAAAATACAATTGTGAGGATGAAAAAGGATTGCGCTTTTCGTAATTCATAATTAGGCAATCGTACAATTACTAGCTCGGTTATTCTTCCAACATATATATTCTAATTTATTTATTCTGGCGATGTGAATGTATTTACGTCATTTATTTTTTTGAAAAAGAATTGCCCCTCTCCCCTCTTTTTGCATTATAGTTTCAATTTAGTCAAGTTTAATCGAAGCGTATTACACATATATACGTAACTTTACCGTGTCGCGTCTTTATTTAAATTTGTACAGATTTGCACAAAACTTAAATTACTCGCCCTACCTACAAAGTTAGATTGTACGAAACTGTAGGATATATAAATTATTTTCAAAAATTTTTAAATTTTATAAAACCAATTGCATGTTAAATACATAATTAAATACATCCTGTCGGTCAATCAAATGTCGTTGGATTTAGTCGGCTCGACGAAAGCGATAATTTACGCAGCGATATCTACGCAGCGGGTAATTGAAAAATGCGTTCGTTACTCTATAAAGGAAGGATTGGAAGAATCGGGAGACTCGCATTTATCCTAAATACACCAATGACAATACATACTAAAACCTTCCTCGCATTCCACGCCGTCGCATCTCGACTCTCGCATCACGACAATGAGTATTGTGCGAGCGTCTTTGTCGTAGACGAGTTTGATTCGATTCGTGTCAGGTCTCTTTCGCAGCTCGCCAAGAAAAGATATATATTATTGTTGGGCTCGACCGAGAAAAAAGGACTCGGCGCGGCCGAATCCGATGAAGCGTTACATCCGTTGCTTTGAATAAAATTCTTGTACTTTTTTTTTCTCCCTTTTTCCCTCTACCTCCCATCACGACTCACGCGACGAGCCGACAATCTATTAGATTTGTCATTCTCGATTATGAATAGTCAACGCGACTAGACGGCACCGTTCTTCCCAGGCTCTTCTTTCTTCCCTTTCTTCCTGTTTGCGGCATCTCTTTCCTCGATTGCGCTCGTCTCTTTCTCCTGGAGCCGCGAGCGCTATATTTGTATTGTATGAAAACGCAAAATGCACCGTCGAAATTCAATCGTATTCAATCTTACACCAGCGATCGCTCCGAAGTGCGATACTTTTTACTTTGGCCCCCGAAGCCTAGCGCTTCGCGCAACGACAATGTCGACCGCTCAAATTGAAAATCTCGCGTCTTCCGATGCGAGTCGCGCGTAGGTACTTTATTTTTCCTTTTATTTCACAATCGGAGATATATCTCGAGAGTAGAGGTGGAGAATGGATTTTTCTCTTCTTTTTTTTCGCATGTACGTCGGGTATATGGGATAAAAATGGATGGTCCAACGAGGAGGAGCGCGAATATCTCGGTCCCGTCTTGCGATGCGTCGCGCGATAAAAGCAGCGGCGCGCAAAGGTGGCCCGTGACAACAGGCGCGACATACCTTTGGAATCGTCACCGGGGTGATTTTTTTCTCGGAAATGGATTTGCAAACGACATCGTCCAATTAACCGACAAAAGTAATAATTTGATTCGAGAAGCGAGGGCGAGGGAGGCGCGATCGAAATGTAAAAATTCTTTTCTCGAGAGAGAATCTCTGCGAGAATCGTCAACAAAATCTGCCGTAAAATTCGTTTCAAGGTAAAAGATGATTTTCTTAGAAACGAATCGAGCGAACATGGTCCACGACGAATGCGCATCCGGCTTAATACCCCACGCTATACGGGACGAAGAATGCCGCAGGTATATCACATGGGATCTGCGAAAGCATTATCCTCCCCGCCTTTAAATGCAACAATGGTGTTGCTGAGCGCACGCGCGTAACTTTTTTTCGTCTTTTCTTTCTCTCATCCCGAGTTTTACACTTTGCTTTTACACCTCTTTATAATCTCTATTCGCATCTATGCGCGAGCGTCTTGAAACGCGAGTGAATAAATAAGGAAAAAAATTACAGACGCGTATCGATAAAAAGCAGCTTGCAGGTTGTATTTTTTTTAAAGAAAAGAAACATTTGTCACAATGTACGTCGGAACGAACGATTTTACATCGTATCGTTACACGCACAAGCGTAAACTCTTTAAATGTAGATGCAACACGGTGGCATCGCATTCGTTGTAAACGGGGCAAATTCCGCGTCTTTCCAAAATTCCCATTTACATTCCCCCTTTAACGCGCTGTCGCAAATTTAATTAAAAAGTTGAAAATTGACAGGACAGCGCTTGATGCTTTGCGTCGGTGCTCTTTTCCGGGCTTCCATTTCCGGAAGGAAAGAACGATCGTAAAGGAACGAACGTCTCGAGAAGAACGAAAATGTTGCAGTTGCTCCTCATCGCCGTGAAATATTTCATAAGCGTCCGTTGTTATAAAACGGATAGCACGGTGTCGCGGCGCGGCGCGGCGCGGCTTTTGCGACGCCCGTCGCCCATCGCGCGCGGTTGGCTCGACTGGCGAGGACGAGGGCGAGGGCGAGGGAGGGAGGGGGATGACGCACCCACCCGCCTCGGACAGCGCGATTCGCTACGCCCGCTACACCCATCGCGCGATCGAGGCAATCGAGGTAACACGCTGGACGACACGAGTCGTCTCGATTAATCCCTGGCTCGTGCACCGCGCCTGGTGCTGGCTGGTGCAGCGCAGCGCTCGACGCGTGACAGTCTCGACCGAGCAGGTATCGAATACATTTTTCCAAACGCCCGTCTAGTCGGAAGCTGGAATACCCTGGCGCGACCGAGAGACGACGGGTCGGTTTATTTCATTTGTATTGTCTTTTTCTTTCGTGAAAAAAAAAATCGATCAAAGAGCGCGCGGCATAGCACGTGGCCAAGACTATTATAAGAAAGAGAAGCGAGAGAGAGAGAGAGAGAGAGAGAGAGCGCGCGCGCGCGTCTCTTTCGTTGGCAAAGGTGTCGAGCCGTCTCTCTGTCGGAAGAGGAGGAGAGCAACGTACGAAAGTGGAAAAGTGTCTCGATAATACAGTTGGGCGCGGCAGGCGCGGCGATTGTCGAAACTCGCCTCTAGCCGCCGACAACGGACGGGCTCGCGTTTCCGTAATCTCGCGATCGCGTAATCTGGAAAAGGACAGAGTCGGTGACGACGGCGCGCTCGCGCGGCGAGGACTCCTCCTCCCGCTCTTCCACCTTCTCCGCTTTTTCCTCCTCCTTCTCCTCCCACCAGAGACAAATTCACCAGAGACGGCGGAGACGGTCAGTTAGTCAGTCAGTCGGACGTTTGCCATCCGATCCGATACGTTTAACGCGCGGCGCCCTCGCCAACGGAATCAGTGTCGATGCGCACCGGCGTTACTTTGCGAGGGGGAGCAGGCGAGAGGTAAAGAGAATATGGGAAACGTAACGCGACGCGAATGAATAACGCGAGAGCGGCGGAGAGCGAAAAACGAGGCGAGAGGGAGGGAGAAAGCGCGCGCGCGCGCGCGCGCGGGCGAGCGAGTGAGGAAAGAGAGACAAACGACGAGGAAGCCTTTCTGCTCTCCCGTGTCTCTCGATCTCGGGGCATTCTCGTAGCACCGCGCGTGTAGGTACCTACTACCTACCTACCTACCTACCTACCCACCACCTTATAAAACGTGCGCGCGGCCGAGACCGGCGGAGCAGAGAGGCGCGAGACGCGAGACGCGAGACGCGAGACGCGAGGCGCGAGAGGAACGCGAATCGAGAAATCGCAGAGTAGTAGCGGAGTAGTTGCGAGCGAGGCTTTCTCGCGCGAGTGCAATTTTCGCGCCGAGATCCTTTCCCGACTGGACCAAGAATAGAGGAGACTCGACGTTGTGCGCGCTCGCGAGTTTAAATTCCGGCCGCGGACATCGCGCCCTTTTTCGCGTCGCGCCCGCGACCCGGGAGGGAGGGGAATAAATTACGTAGTAAATGAGATTGCGCGGAAAGTTTTGTGCAGTGAACGCGGTTGTTAATAGATTAGTGCCGCGATTTCGACGACGGCGAAGAAAGAGAGCGAGGGAGGAGGAGGAGAAGGCGCGCTATCTATGCGTTAAACATCGGTGCGAGTGCCAAAACTGAGTACGAGAGAGCAGCCAGCTGATAAACAGCGAGGAGGGAGAGAGACGCGCGGGTGTCGCGTCGCGTCGCATCGCGTCGCGTCGCGTCGCGTCGCATCGCGTCACGTCGCATCGCGTTACGTCACGCACGTCACGTCACGTCACGTCACGTCACGTCACATTGCATCGCATCTCATCGCGTCGCATCGCGTCGCATCGCATCTCATCGCATCGCATCGCATCGCATCGCTGCGCTCGCGTCGCGTCGCGTCGCGTCGCGTCGCATCGCGAGAGACCGAGAGTCGCCAATATGCATCTTCACAGTGGTCTGACGTTGCCGATTCTACTCATCATCGCTTCCTATCCTCTGACGTTACGCGCGCGTCGAGTCGCACCCTTGATAGAGGACGACTGGGCGAGGAGACCTCACCGGGCCGCCGGTAAGTAACAATTCATCGCATATCTCGCATTTGCTCTCGAACGGAGAAATTCCGTTTTCCGATTTCGAGCGCTCGACGATTGTCGCGCGGGGCAGCTTCTTGTCCTTTAAAGGTTAGAGATGCTCGCGTGCGTACGTAGAAACGCGCGCGAATGAAGCGCAAAGCGCATCCTCGCTTAATATCCCCCCCCCCCACTAATAATCATTTCCTCGATTCGCGATGGTTATCCTTTCCCTCCTAGGTAGAGACTCACCCCACGGCTTTTGCCACGTAAATTACGTCATTTTTCACCCCCGAAACGTAATCTTCCTCTTGTACACTTTACGCGTGTCCCCTTGGTAAATTTCTCAAAATGCAATATCGTCTGTATTAAAGGTAGTTGCATTTATATAAATATCGTTTTATAAAATAAATCATGTAGCCATTTGTTGGCGCGGTTCAAGCACGTTTGTAATTTTCGCAATGAGATAGAGAGAGAGAGAGAGAGAGAGAGAGATTGTTTGGAGCAACGAGCAAAAGGTAAAGGATCCAAGCGACTCATTTCTCTTCTTTATATGGATCTAGCAATGTCCACCGGTTTGCTCCGCTCGCGCGCGCGCGTCCTCGTCAAAGCGTACACGCACGTACAATTTCTTTCGTACAATTTTATATATATTTAATATTCCTTTCTACCGTACGCGCGCGCGCGCGCGACGTTTCTCTCTCTCTTTTACTCCTTCTCTCCTTTTTTTATTAATTCGACATACATTATCGAAATTATAAACTATTTATGCATGCGTAGAGATTAAACATGAAAGCTTCGTACGAACCGATAGTTTGATCTGGAAAAATTGTGTCATACATGTATAAGATGATGAGTCGCAAATGTATCATTTTATGCGAAAAGTATTATTTTACCATATTTTGTAAACAATAGCACCGTACGGCAAAATACAAATACAAATCATCGATTAATATTACACACGTTACACACGCGGAACATGTTTACCGAAATATACGCGAGTCGAATGTACGGGAGGTTCATTTAAAATAAATGGTCTATTATTAATCTTATAAGACGCTAATTTTCACCTTTGATTTTACCGTGACGCTTCGTATTATCCGGTAAACCAATTTTTAGAGGCGATTTTTATATCTTTACAATCAAGGAGCAAAAATTAACAAGACTCAAAGACCAAAATACAGAAAAATGGCAGATGGATGCATAGAATATTACAACAATTCTCATGTCTCGCGACAAGACAGCCGAGAGTAAATAATCGAGTTAATATCGATATCGAATCATTTCCCGGACAAATTGCTGTGTAAATGCTAAAAATTTTACAAGTTTAAAATTTCGCGCTCGCGAGATAAATGTGAAAAATAGTTAAAAACGCTTCATGTCGCCGCAAAAGATTGCTGTGCAAATAGGATTAATATTACATGCGCTTGACAAATATTAAAATACATGCAATTTAATGACAAATTTAAAAAAATTGGCACCTTTTTTCATACTTTACGCAAATGGCTACTTTGGACGCAACAATTGCAAAGGTTAATCGCATTAATTGATTAATCGCGTGGATTGATAATCTTTAGATTATCAATCCACGCGATTCTATCTTATTGATAATCTTATTGATGGAACTGTTGAAATTGTAGAGACCGAGCGTTTAAAATATAATGACCGTCGATTTTTATTTGAGATCTCGTTCAACAGCCCTCTTCTGTTTACGTACGATTGTCATTCGCGCACGTGACTCTTAACTCGACTGATGGAATAGCGCGCTCCGTGCGCTCCGTATTATCTAAACGCGATTGATTAGGACGTGTGAAACTAGGCATATATTTCTTACGCACAATTAAGGATTGTCCATTTACGTAATTAATTAATTTCCGCATTTGTATCCGCATCCCTGCTAACCATTGTACCGCACGCGCGGTATCGGATCGTTATCGATGCCAAATAGTAAGATTTGTGCCGATATCACAACTTTGATTTATAGCGCATGATGAGTTGTGCAACTGTATATATATATATATATATATATATATATATATATATATATATATGTGCGCGTGTATGTGATTCTCGATCACGGCAATAAAAATATAAACCAACTAAAACCGAGCGTACACATCTCACACTTGCATCCATTCGCGAATAAAAGCCATTTGACGAAAGCCATTTGTTCGTGCATCGAGATGTGACGGTCGATAAACAGTCGTGTTGGTAGAAAAAGAATATTTTTAATATGTACGTTAATTTGAATGTGCGCCTTAGAGTAACGGGCAATGATATTTGGACTGCTCGAGATGCCATTTAGTTGAAAAAGTTGACTATGCGTCTCATTGTGTTCGAATTCGACCCAATTTCATACGATGGTAGATTACTCGGTAAACGCGCGTTTAAAAAATAATCCGTCTGGAAATTTTACATAAATGAACCTTATTCACGTGGCGGCAACGCAATCGAGCCCTTTCCTCTCGCGAATGCGTCGCCCGATCCTCCGTTCGACAAGATTCGCGGCTAATTGGCTGCAGCCACCGAGACAACGCGACCGTTGTATATTAAACAAGTTTAGTTTAGAAGCCAATTTATATGCGCCTTTTTCAAGTAGCTAAACGTAAACGATGGCATTGAACGCGGCGCGCGCGCGACGCGCCAATTTACAATGTCATCATTTTTATTTAACGGATTTTATAGATTATCGTGATGGGGGCGAGGAGCGAGAGAAAAGTGGAAGGTGAGAATTCTCGGAGGCGCCCTGTTCTCTGCTCGATTATGTGAAATATCATAGTTTACGTATAAGTGTGTCAAATTGTATTAGCGAATACGCGATACAAATAGCAAATTTATTGCAAGTGTTGCAAACGAGCAACATTAGATTGAATGTTAGTGAATCTTCATTCATCCCTTCGGACGGAGGAATTTTATATAGATTAATTTATACAAGATGGTATGTGTGCGAGAAGGAAAAAATATTATACTTCGATGAAATATTTGCGCAAACATTTTATAAAAGCTGACGCGGTAAATTAAATCGAGAGCCGCATTTTTTTCGAAAGAGAAAAAGAGAGAGGAAGGGAGAGAGACGTCAAACGAGACGAATCAGCGATATAATCTTGGTCGCTCTTTTCGCCCGCCTAATTTTTCAGCTTTGTCGAAATGCGCGAAATTCACAGGGATTTCTCGAAAATCAAGACAGGGCCCGTTCGCGTCTCTCCTGTTTTCTCTGAGAAAGGCTACATCGCGCCGAAGAGAGAGGATCGTATATATTTAGACGAGCTGCAGACACAAAACGACTTACCACCACCTTCGCGACCAACGGCTTCTTCGTTTCTCTCCTTCTTCGTTCTCCGTGAACTCGTTCTCTCTGCCTCCTATTTCATTGTCGCGGATGTACACACGCGGAATCTAGCTAACAATAAGAGTGAACGCTAGAAACTAATTGTAAGCGATAACCTCTGTGTAACCTCACGTGTGCCAAAGTCGAGGCGTAAAACGTCTCGCATTCTTCTCCCCCTAGGAGGGGATTTAGACTTTACGTTTCTCAAGATCGCGCGCCTTTTATCGCCCGATCGATTCGCGTCGACTTTGAGAGTCGATGAGAGAGAGAGACCGACCGGACAAGGCACGGCAGGATGCGCGAGATAGGTTGCCATTATCCTCGGATGACATGGGTGTGGTTTGTACTTTATGCATTTTCTTTTACGTAGCAAACAGCCTTTCGCGATCGTATAATCTGGCTAATCGCAGCGATGAATGTAGACGTTGTAGAGATTTGAAAAACAAGTTTGAAAAAATTGTAATTTTGTTAACGCGTGTCGCTCATCCGCATATACGTACATATATGGCGTAGGTAGCGCGCTCCTGTTTGTCCCTTTGCTCCGAGAGGATTAATCGGTCGGCCAAAGAGGATCAAGATTTTTCGCGACTATGGACGCAACGCATTAACGCGCGCGAATTTGCAAAACTTCAAAGTAGAATTTGTATCTACAAAGACAAGTATGCAACATGGTGTTCCGACATCTTTTTCTGGCGCGTGCACGCCAAGTCGACAAACATGAGAAGGAGTAACAAGTGTTTGTAAAAGGCACGAGATGGATGTAGAGGAAAGCGATGGAAAGAGAAAAGGGACGCGAGAAGAAAGGGAGAGCTTTCGCTCGGTGTATTTAATGAACGTAAAAGGTGTCCATTTATCAGTTTTCCCAGATGAAACAAAACTCCTCGGTATTTATAAATGGAAATTTTCAACATGTATATAAACATACGAATGAACGGAAATTGCATGAATGTTGCGCGAAAATTATCAATCTAGTCAGAGTTTCACTTTCTTCTTCGCTGCCAAGGTCTGAGCGTGCCCCGAAAAGTGTCGGCAAATACAATACGATGAATAGTGTAACGAGCTGCCCGCTGTGACGATCGAATTCCATCGATGATCCTGCGGGACTTGGAAAACACATTTCCTCTCGACATTATTCTCATTTATAAATTTTCATTTTATCAGTACTCGCGCGCGGTAAGGTATAACCGCTAATCGGTACCGTTAATGTCACTCGTATCCTTCCTACTTTGGCCGTTATACGTACGTACTAGACCAGGCTTCGAGAATCGCGCTCTCGTCGCGTGCCTATCATTCGTATCGCGCGTATCGCATCGTGTCGCGTCATATCGCATCGTATCGCGAATTAGTTTTATTACGGAAACAACACGCGCACACCGTTAAATGGATTGCTCCTTTTTTCACGCATACCTCGGACGGAACGACTCGTTCCGATTTTACGAGCCATCTCGACTCGTTCTTCGTGAGAGAGATAAGATGTATAATATTATGCACGTTACTTGTATATTTCTTACAACGAGGGTTTAAACAAAAATTTCGCTGGGAAAGATGCAAATTAAATTTTCTCTTTCATTATTTTAATAACGTTTGACTTTTATCCAAATCGTGCAACGAACGAATCGAAAGTCAACGTCAGAATGGCTTTTCGAAATGCGCAATCTTGTAAGCGAAATT